AAAAAATGCTTGCGGGGAAATACTTAACATTCGAGTCTGGCTGGCACTAAAAGCTCGGCGGAAGATCTCGTTCCCGGCATGTTTATCGGCGGACGTTAATTTAACGGCGATTTCGTGGTTCACGACGGCGATTCGACGGTTCGAAAGTTTCCGCGAGAAACGCCGCGGATTTAATGCGGCAGCACACGGTGAAACCCGTTCCGCTGATGGAATTCTGTATAACCGTCGAATCGCTGTAAGACACCCCGGGAACACGTCACTTCCCCCTCGTCGCGAGGTGTAACGGAATTTACGACGGGCAGACACATCCATTCCTCGGGAGTATGTTCACACAGTTCACGTGCGGGTTTTGCTCCCCCGGGCGCGGCTCTACGTCGAAATAACGCGGCCATCTGGGTGCAGTCGGACGCACCGAAATTTCGTCGCGTAAACGCGCGTACGCCGCGGAGAACGTGGCACACTTTCTTCTAGCTTCTCGACTGTTGATTCATTGCACGTTACGTTTACTCCTCTCGAACGGACGAAAAAAAGAAACATTACGTCGTTAAGGAGAATGATCTGTCATAGAGTATGATTTTCTGGACGCTTAAAAATATAAAAAAAAGGAAACAAAAATGTTAGATCGTGAGGAACGGTAATGATATTTCATCGAGATTCTTCTTGCTCCTTATGTATACGTAGGCGCATTGTTCTACGGTCGTCAACGATAGCGGCACTTAATTACGCAATAATTAAAGTGGAAATTACAGTACATTACGAGTTACGATACGTTGCACTATAAATCTTAAATGGAACAGTCTAAGAAGAAAATCATCAACAAAAAGGTTGATCGCAGAGTATACAGGAGTTTAGTGGCCCTTTCAAACGGGTAGGGAAGATAGCGGATACAAAGAGAACGTTCTTGTTACAGAGATTCACTTCGCCTGAAAGTTGTTGCTCCCATAAAAAAATCTATGCTCGTAATACGGCGGTGTTCAGCGGGGAAGGGCGGCCGGGCGGGGCGGGGGTGCATTTGCGCTACTCTCTACACTCTACTGGGTAACATCGACGGTATACACAAAGCGGGGATTAACAATCGTGATGCCTTTCAGCGTCGATCTCGACGTCGCATTACCATCTCCTGACATTGTCTTCCGAAATCGGACAACGAAAGGGTGAAGTGGGCGAAACGAAATAGAGAGAACAGTGGAGAAAGGTGTGAAACATCGATTACTGGGTTTCGTAGGGCGGGCGGGGGGGCGGGCAAAGATTTAAAGAAATTTTGAGGCCTACCCCATAGAATACATTTCTTAAGACCTGGAATGCGAAAAATCATATAATCTGTGACAATATAGCGTCGCTTTCAGTCGGCTTAAAGTTTACTTAATTCTACGTGAATGGAATATTGCTCGGTATCGATCTTTCAACCGTGTCCCGCGATTCCTCTTAGTTGAAGCTAATTAATTCTAAAGTTCTCTAGTCTAAGTAACGCTAACGTCCATGGGTTCAGAGTGAATTGCCAAACGGTACACGTACTATTCGACGTACAAAAATATGAAAAACAGAATATCGAATAGAATACAGGACGTAAATCTCTCGTCACATTTCCTCGCGAGGGAAATCTTCGATCGAACTCCCAAATCGTATCGACGCAATGTTTCACGGAGAATCCCGGCGAATTCACTCAATTACCGTTCGACAAACCACCCTACACAAGGAAACACATCCCCGTCAACTACACTTCCACGTCAACTCCCAGTACATCCTAATCTATCGCGGTTAAACTGAACACCAACTACAGTCCACGTCGCAAGGGTTTATTATACAACCGGTACACTCTTCAAAGCGCGGGACAATATCGAGGAGAAGAATAGGAGGTAAAACCGTCCAAGAACAAAATCCACGGGAACGTGTTCGAAGGGAAACGAACAGGAGAGGGAGAAACGAGGGAATGAAAAGAACCGAAATAGGGAATATGCTGGGGGGACGAAAGGTGGCGTGAAGCGTATAGTTACCTTTGTGGTGAGGTTGTTGGGGCCCGGGTATCGTTTCCGGATGCTTTTGTCTCCACTGGGTCTGCGCGGTGATCCTGCGCGATGCCATCGGCGTCGGGTCCGCGGGCATCGTCACCAAGTTCCGCGAAACTAACAGCTCCACTTGGGGATCCTGCCTCGACTCCGCGATGATGTCGTAAACTTCTTGGAAGGTCTTGCCCTGAAGGGACCTCCCGTTCCACTTGATCACCTCGTCACCTGAAATCGTCGAGTGTCCGGTCGGTTCCTATTGGATTGCCTGCGGGCCGGAGCACGGGGGTGGAAGTTGGAGGATTTATTTACTCCGGGCTGGAATATCTTTTACTGGAGCCGGAGCCTCGGAGGACGTCTGCTTTCGCGGGGTGATCGAGGAAAACTCCTGACGCGGTGATTCTAGCTCCAGGTGATCTAGGGGTGTTTGCGGATACTTGGCTCGGCCTGATCTGGGCTACTTTATGGAATTTGATTGGCGTCGTTCGTGGGACCTTCGATCGTTTAGAAAGGACGTTACGTTTGGTTCAATGAGAAAGGAAGTGTGTTTGATAAGTAACTCAGATGAAACTAGAATCTGCCCTGCGAATTGAATACTCATAGTAATTCAATATTCTCTTTATTTCTTTCGAAATATCGAGTATCGTCACTTCCATGTTAAGTTCGAACACTCTCCGTTCGATTCGGCAAGAAGTAAACTTTCGCTTAGAATCAACCCTGCGCCTTACACGGATCATCATGTAACTAACCACTCCAAACTGGCTGTCAAAGGGTTCCCCGATCAACGGTATCTAAGACACGTCAAAGGGAGCAGCGACAAGTTCCCACGGAGCGTTACGTGGTAGGGGGAGTGTGGTAGGTGAAAGATATCGTCTAGAAGGTGGGCGAAGCGTCAGAGGTGTCTAACCGGAAGGCGATTCCTCCGAGAGCGATAGAGGCGGTGGGAGGTGGAAAGGTGATTCCTAAGGACGACGAGTTAAATTTATCGTCTTACCGGGTCTGAGTTGACCTTCTATGTCAGCCGTGCTACCCTGCTTGACCTTCTCGATGAGCGCGCCCATGGACCCATCTTCGAGCAGCTTCCCGCCGACGACTTTCAGCCCGAGTATGCTACTACTGCTCCC